AGGGGGAAAAAAAACAAAACCAAAAAACAGTATGAAATTCTTCTTGGCAGATATTGAGTTTTATTTTTAAATATTATTTGCTCTTTTTTCACCATAATTTTTTTATGATTTACTTTTTTGGGGTGATCATGAAAATGATACTTTCTGGTTGAGTATGGGTACTTCAGTTTTATGTAGAAGATTCAGAAAGTAAAGAGTGATTTGCCTCTGAGTCATGGACATTCACTGATAAACATATATCTCTCTATACCAGTGTTAAGCATCTCACAGGCAAGAATTATGCTTTCTTAACTTAGTTGCTTTGAGTATTAACAACTAGTTTATACTGAAAAGTGCGTCAAGAGAGCATAATAATAGGTCAGAATACAAGTTAAAATTAAACATTGTTACTCTTACAGCCATGTATTAACTATTAAATGCATTTTTATATCTCTCAGCAAATGAGAATTTGAACTGTTCTTAGTTTATTAAAATGTAGTATTGCTGAACAATATTTTTTGGAAGGGGGATAGTTTTTGTTCTATCTTGTACAGAAAACAGTAATGAAATCACTCAGTATGTTTTAGAACCTTGTAAATACGTCTATAATATTAATGCTTTCCTTTAAGACAAATATAAATTCAAAAAGGGAGATTTTATTTAGACAAACAGTACTAATTAAAATGGTTTCTCTTCACCCTACTCTATGTAGATTTGTAACTGTTGAGAAGGAAAAAACTCATTGTAAGATAATGCCAGCCTAGATAATGCTGAAATAAATTATTTTGTACACAGTTGCTTATTCGTATTTGTTTTGTTATCACTTCAGAATATCAAAAATTTTTTGCAAAGCGTTCTTTCTTTGAAAGAGTATAAACTTAATCATCCTAATCCATTCAAGTTTGTGAACAATGTAATTCTCAATAACCACCTACCAAATATATTCTGGTACCACAGCAGTTTGGCTTCTTTTTAGTGTTTTAATAATTGTAGAATTAGTTAGTCTTTGTCATGAAATATCCTGGTAAATATGTAATTTATAATGTTACTTTCAGCAAGATGTCATTTGTGTAAAAGATGCCAGTTAATCGTAATTAGTATGGAAACTACTTTGAGTAGCAGCCTTTTAGAAAGTATTCCATTGGGATCATTTAGAGTTTCTGAGAGTTTCTGACAGTTCTGGAGCAAATGCACTTGAGTTGTGAGGAGTTAGGTTTGAGGTATATACTGGAGGGTATGGAAGGCAAGGTAAAGGAGCACTGGGATTAGTAGTGTAGTCCAGTAATGTATCAATCAGTGTATAGAGTTGCTATCTATTCTCCCTCCTATACCCATTCCACTTAGAGTATAAAATAAACATAATAGACCTGGGACACAGACAGGGATCTTTTTTAAGATAAGAAAGGCAGGGTGGTTTCATGTCCTGTCACCTACTGCCTC